TGGGGAAGAGAAGGCTTTGGGGAGACCTTATCGTAGCCTTCCAGGACTTAAAAGGGGCTTCTGAGAAAGACAGGGACAGACATTTTAGCAGGTCCTGTAGCACTAGGACAAGGGGTAATGGTTTTAAACTAAAAGAGAGTAGATTCAGACTAGATCTAAGGAAGAAATTTTCCACAATGAGGGTGATGAACCACTGGCACAGGTTTCTCAGAGAGGTGGTAGATGCCCCATCCCTGGAAACATTCTAGGTTAGGTTGGATGGGGCTCTGAGCAAGCTGATCTGGTTGAAGACGTCTGTGCTTATCACAGGAGGCTTTGACTAGGTGACCTTTAGAGGTCCCTTCCAATCCAAACTGTTCTATGATTTTATGATTATTGTTTTTGGGTCTGTTAAAAGCTGTTCCATTGCAATAGAGTAAGTGACAGTTAATTTACAAATATTTTTGTCTCTCCTGGCTATCTTTCTGCATAAAGTCATGGTGAGGAAGTCAAGGGTAAGTTTGTTTTGCATCCTTAAAAAGCTGTGTCAGTGTGCAGATTTGGAAAGGATTGAGCATGCTCAGTTAGTGATTGCAAAGAGTTCTGAGAATAGTAGAGTAGAAGGTTGGATTTAAAAAAAAAATGTGGTAATTGTTAACTTTTTTCCTAGGCTTTTAATAAAAGAAATAAAACAGATAAAGTCAGAATATACAGTGCTACAGACACAGTCTTGCAAGTAAGTGTTTTTCCTTGTAACTAAGATAGCATATATAAAACTGATGTCTTACTCAATTTTATGAAATCTGAACTGTAATTTCATTGTAATCCACCTGAACTTTTGTTGCATGGATATAGGGTGAAACAAAATGATGAAAAGAAAAATGACAAAGCTGAGAGAATTCAGAAGGTGAGTGCTTTTTTTGTGCTGTGGCAGTGTACTGTATTTCTTCCTACATTTCTGCAATGCTTACTAACTCCGATACTGTTAATTTCCACTTGTCTACCTTTGATCATGCTAGCCCCTTCATCTGCCTTTATGCTGTTTTGATACTCTGTCATTATAGGTGGCAAACATTTTAATGTAGCATTTTTGTCCTTACCTATTAAGGTCCGCCATATGTGGACACTTATAATGGAAATGCTTACATCTCTAGAAAAGGAAAAGGAATGTGTGGATTCTGTACTTGATGTACTTGAAGATTGTGTTGGTCAATGCACGTTAGATGGAACTAAGGTTGTTTTCTGTGTTCCATGGCTGTTGGCTTTCAGAGTTGAAAGGGACATAGACCAGGTAAGTGATTTTTGTCCTTCCTGCTAGACTGTACTTTTTTTTTATTCCCTGGGGTGTAATGATATACCTTTTAAAAAAAAAAAGTACTTCACAGATCATAAGAGATGATTGCATACAGATGGAGAAAATATGTCTAATTTGTATGTAAAAGTTTGCTATGATTATGCTGCTGTTTTGTATTGGTTATGTTTTGGCCATTAACCTTTGAAGTTCAATAGCTGCACTGGTAAGTCTGTGTGATTAGTACTGGATTTTTTGTTGTTTAAACATTAACGCAAGGTTGACCAGTTTAACTGTTGCTTTAATTAATGGGTTTTGTTTCCAGTGGTGCTGCTTAAGCCTGCCATGTCTTTTGGGGCCACTGGTTAGACAGAATACCTCATTAGTTGAAGTTTTCTTAGTTCATATTGCTTTATAGCCTGCTTTCAAGTAGCTGTTTCTATAAAAATAGTGTTTTTTGAAAAATAATCAGAAACTGAATCAAAATATGAAGTGGAACTTTGTATCCCTGCTCTGACTACAGAAGACGTAACTTTCTGATATTGATGCTGTTCAGTAATTCTTTTTTTCTTGCTTGCTGTACTTCAAGCATTGTATAGGAAATGTATATGAAGCTGGAAAACTGAATTTCTTAACAATCATTCAGTTACTAAATGAAGCCCTGAGGGCATTGAGAGATGAACATTGTCAATCTGAAATAAAACAACAACTTAAGGTCATTGAGAAGAGGATTACATTCTGCAATAAAGTACTAGAGGATTTGGAAGCAGAGAGGTAATTGTCTGGAAATTTTCTCTGGTTCCTTGTTTGTTAGTCTAAGAATCATATCTTCCTATCTTGCAGTTTTTTCTAAAATAGTATCATTTATAGTGAGAACATGTTGCTTCAATCTTTTTCCTTGGCCTCTGGTAAATTCACGTTTGTCTTGATTATCTGTATAACTTTTAACTAAGATTCTTTAGGTATCTTCAGCTTTTTGACCTTACTTCATTAATATTTTAGGCTTGTTCCTGGGGACCTTGTTTGCTAGCCGATCTGATTTTTTTTTTCTTGTTTTGTTAATCAGTTCTGGGATTTTAAAACTTTATCTGAAACTGGTTTAGGGTAAGTTTAAGTGTGTATTTCATTGTGTGTATGTGTTTTAGTGTAGTTATTCCAGTTCTATTGTAAGAAACGTGAGGGCTACCTAGCAGCTGCTTTTTAGGGTGTGAATTTCAGTTAGTTCTTAGTGCATGCACAAATGCATAAGTAAGTTGATACCTAGCAAAGATTTTGCAGGATAAGGGGAACATACAGTACTCTCCATCTTTATGCAGAATTGTTATCTTCACCAACAGATGTGTTATGTTTATACTTTACAGGCGGAAAAAAGAGCAAAAGCATTGTCTACCAACGAGTGGTATTTCTAGAAAACAGGAAGACTGGGAAGTGAAGTGGAAAAGCTTTCTTGGCCTGTGTCCTTTTAATTTAATCTTAGATCAGGATCCAGTAAGTAGTGTTCAATTTATCTGACTCTGGGGAAGAGAAAGGGGGAAGGTGACAGAAAACAGACATCTAAGCTGGTGTGTTCTATTGCAACACTTCAGCTTTGTATGTAAGGTTAGGGAATTGGATAGCACAATACAGCATAAATTGCTTTATGATGTAGTCTTTTTTAAAGATAGGTTTGACTTAATGACAGCTGGTGTCTTCATTTGAGATGGGGGATCAGTGTAAGAGCAAGCTGATTGGTTTTGTCCACGTTCATCCTCTTGATGGAAGTGGAAATTGAGCTTTTGTGTGCTATCAGTCTGAACATCTGCTGAGTTCTGCTTTTCCCTTTTTGAAGTGATCTGCTTGATGAATGAACAATAACTTCATTGCTCATATTGATACAGGTACCTGAGGTTATACCCTTGCCTAGCTACCCAGCAGAGAGACGAAGAGTTTCATGTTGAGTCTGACAGCTGGTTTGCAGAATGTTGTTCTGTTGTACACAATTGAATGTTGTACATAATTGCCTATTAATTGCTGTTGATATGCAGATTTTTTTCAGCATGCTTGTGTAACTTTTTTTCTTTTGAAAGGAACTTGATTTGTTAAGTGCTTCGCCACCCTATTCTTCTAGTCTTGCAGAACAAGAAGATGAGGATAGCATCTTCTGTCAACGGCTAGTATCAGTTTCAGGTGGGTGAACAAGAGAAGCTCTTCACCCCCTCCCCCTCAACAATTGTTAAAAGTTACTTGGAGTCAAAAAGACTCCCGCCTTGCATTTGAAAGTATCTTTGATGGTCTCTGATAATCTGGTTCTGAATGACTCTTTGCCATGATTGCCTTACATTTTTAAACCTTATCATATCTCGGAGATTCTCTAAAGCTTTTGATATGTCAAAAACCCCATGCTGGAACTGTTTTGGTATTTTGTTGTTGTTGCGTGGAAGTTGTTGAGACAGATTTCCATGTACAAAGGTTCATTCCTGGGTTCTACAGGATACATTCACTCTAACAATAAAAGTTACTTCAGGTTGAAGGACTAATAAGAAAGAGAAAGAAGATAAAACTTCTCCCATTGTCCAACTGGGAAAGAAATTGAAGGTGTCCTCCCAGATAAGCATCTTTCCCTGGTGCATTCTGAAATACTTATTCCACAGTCACTGTGCCATTTGATCAGGAGCTTACTTGGTCTGTGTTTGTTGCTTTCAGTCATTATGTTAACAGTGCTGATCAGAGGTCACTTTGATCAGACATGGATGTTGCACATGCTAATTGGCTGATGAGGTGATTGTATTTTACTGGCTAGTGGTTATTGATCAAGTGTTGACTGTCCCTAGCATAGAGTTATAAATTAGAAGCTACGAAGCAAGGGTGGAAAAGGAGGGTGAAGACAGCTTGAATCGTCTGTCATTTGCAGTCCCTTGTAGGAAGAATGACATAGCAGATGTGTGTTGGAATTTGAAGGTGCAAAGCAACCAAGAGAAGATCATTTTAGTTACAAAGGTGAAAGCACTGCTCCAGCAGTCTGAGCATATGTAGGTGTAAGGCTAGAAGCTGCAAAGGAAAGGCTACAGAATTGCAAATGGAAGGTAATTTGCCTTAAAAAATTCAAAGATCTGTGCAATAGTGCTGTGAGCTTCTGGTAATACCAGAAAGCTTGAGACAAAGTGGTGTCTGTGGTATTCTCTCTACTGTCTGGTTAAGGTTCTTGGTATGAGAATCCAGCTACTAAGAAAAGTAACTTTCTACCTGGTACCATGGTAAGCTTTAAAAAAAAAAAATTAACCTTGCCTAATTTCTTCAAGTGAGCTTGGATTTTTGGAGGTCTTTTTGAGGTGAATACAAAAGAAAATTCTATTTATGTTTGCAGAAGCTGAAATTTAGGCTTAGAGAACTACTTTGGGCGTTCATCCAAATCATGTGCCAAAATAGATGTTGTTCTAGAGCTGAGGTACAGGTACCTCTGGTAATGTGCGAAACATTTCCTGATGTGCCTTGCCTTGCTTGGACTGGGGCAGTGTTGATCAGAGGGATAAGTATGTCCACAGAGGTATTTACTGATAAATGCAGGTGAAGATGGTGGGGAAGACATGGGTGGAATTTTGCTTTGTGGACTTGATGTGCCACACAATTGATGTATATGTGGAGAGGAGGAAATAATGATACGTGGCTGGGATTGTAGTTTGGAGGAAGGTGGAACATATGATTGATATGTGCAGGGAAGCGGAGATAGAATCATGCCTCTCAAGCATGTATTCAGGAACAACACAAATAGGTGCTGGCTGTTAGTGGTATCTGTGGCTGCAGGTGGTACCTGAGCAAAGGGGTTGATTTCACTGTCCTGCTTATGTATTCATTTATTTTTCTTGAAGTGTTCATAAAGTCCATCCTTTGAATAATGTACAGAAGTGATCTGAATCACTTGTGTCATCTGGGAAGCCTGAGCAAAAAAAACAAAGCAGTAATAAAACTCTTGACTTGCTTTTCCAGGTGCTTGTGACTCTATTCATGAAGTAAGTTACAAGGAAGATGATGGAGCATTGGAAACTATGGTGGATAAGTCAATGTCACCACCAGTATGGTATGATGTCAATGAGAAATTGATAAAAAAAGCAGTGGAAAAAATAGAAATTTACTTGTTGGAATTGAATATATTGCATCTCTTGATCCTTAGTGCAATATTTCAGTAGCCCACTCCTTACATGTCACATCCACCTGATTTAGCAAGATAGTCCTAAACTAACTGCAGCTTACTGCAGCTGGTGACTGGTTGATCAACTGACTGCTGCCGAGTAGGGTGTGCAGTAGCCAAGTTACAAGGTTTTACCTCACTATTTAACTATGTTATTTCAAGTTTTAAGAGGTGGTTGGAGAAAATGGAGAATTCTGTTTCTCAGGCTGGGTTGAAGTAGACATGTATGTTCAGTATAGCCTGAGAATAAAAGAACAGACATTCACAGGAGCCCTTCTTTTTTGTTTTTTTTAAAAAAAAAAAAAAAAAGAGGAAAACAAACTAAAACTGAACCAAAACAAAAACCACCGACTCCCAAGCAGAATTACTGTGCAAAACCTTCTCAACAAGGCTTTTCTCATGAATCTTCTAAAATCACTGTGTTCTGTAATTTCTCTTCACTACAGTTTCAGCAAAAGATAGCACGCAAAACAATGGTATTCCAAAAAGTTTTGGCCTGTTTGTCATTTACGTAGTCCAGGAAGGTTGCATGACCTTTTGAATAACACTGTATTTCATTGTATGACTTCTATATATGCTTGAAAATCGGCTAGTAGGAATGAAAGGGACTTAGCATAGGAAGCCTGTCCTATAGGTAGATATCAGTAGCTGTAGTTGCATATACGTCTCAAAGATTGTCCAAGTAGTTAGCAATTAAAGCCTGGATGTCTCTCAGTGACTTCATACAGGGTGGATTTTTTTTGTCTGCATCTGATTCTGAAGACAGATAACAGCAAATATTCATGTTTTAAGGTGCATTCTTCCTAACAAGAGAGGACTGTACCTTACATTTTAGAGAGTTATGCTATTAGCACTATGCTCATCAGAAGTGATAAAACTCAAGTTTCTGGTAGCCAGGTGATTGTTAAATATCAGTAAGTTCGCACAGGAACAGACCTGTGGATGCCAGAGGTGATTTGGAGGAAGAATATCTAGGGAAAAGAATATTATGAAGTCTGCAGAAGACTTTCCAGTTATCTTTGATTGCAGAATACAGAAGACTTGTTTAAAAAACTTATCGCAAAGTCCCTTCTTCTGTTTCGTAATCAAGGGGAAAAAAACTATAATTAATTAATTTTGGGAGGCTGATACACAACTAGGGCTAAATATGCTCTAACTGTCACATTGTTCTCCCTATAGTAAAATGGCCTTCTGATGACCGGGACGAATTGAGCGAAATCGTAACGGACAGATACGGGGCACACAATATGTAATGCAATATGTAATGGCCTTCTACTAAGACTTGCATGTCACTTGTTTAATTTGTCTCTAAAACATCTTCAATTTTTTTTTTTCACACCTTCCTCTCACCCATGCCCCCAAGGATCTCTCCAGTGCCTTTGGAGTTGTCAAAAGCATCTGAAAACAGAGACGTGTTAATTAAAAAGGTTATTCTTCAATAATTTCCTATCTAACAAAGAAGTTAAACTTGGACTATTTGCTTTTTACATTGAAGCCTAGACTCAGTATTTGGTGGGGAGAGTTGTGGGGTGTTGTTTTTTTTTTTTTACATAGCATTTTTACACGTCTGAATCAGTCCTGTAAAACTCTAAAACCTGACTGCCAGGGACTTCATTAAGCTTTAGGAGAGGACAGTAGGAAGTCGGTGCACTTGCACCTGACTTCCAGTACAGCATACAGTGTGTCACTGATTCCCTGCTTGCTCAAAGTCTTTTTAGTGTGTCCAGTGGCCAGACTTTGATGTTTCTTTAAGTTGAGTTTGAACTTACGGGTTATAATGTGGCCTAAAAGCAACTTGGATGTATAGTTGTCCATTGCACAATTGCTCAGTGTAGTGTGTTGAAGGTAGTTGCAGATGAGTCATCTGTATTCTATGTAACATCCTATACTAGCCACTACTTACGTCCTACTTTAAATATGATTGTAAAAAGAAAATTGTGGTTAGTTAGAATTTAAGACAAATATTTTTATTGACTAAGCATTAAAGCCATTGCTGTTCAGAATTAGTACAGCAGTTTCTTCATGCTAATTTTCTGACACTTGAGTTTAAAACTTGTAATAATTCCTGTGTATTCCTCTAGAACTTGTATATTGAAACTTGCAAGGGTCAAAAAGAGCCTGTGCCTCCAAAAATCTTAAAAAATGGAAGGGATGAGTCTGCCACTTCAGAAACGCAGGAGAATGCAGTTGATCATGTTATCCAAACAGAATCTCCTGTCAAAGAAGACTACCTTCTTAAAGCCAGAGATGAACTGGCAGAAGAGGTTAGGAAAAGTTAAAATTTTTTGTTTGCTTGTTTTAAATAAGTGGTCATTAAGTTCAGTGAACAAATTACTAATTATATCATAAAAAGCCTCTTGTAATCTGCATACATCATAAGTTAGTTTTTCTGCTAGATAGTAAGCAGTGTCACTAAGTTTTAGGGCTGACTGCCCAATTAAGTACAGCCGGAAAGCATGGAGCTTGTGCAGTTATACTTAGAAATCACGAAGTGAATAGCACTTTCAGTAGAATCATGATAAGTTTTTTATGATGTCTCATATTTTAGTTTATAAACCACTGCACATATTAAGAATTCATCAGTCCTTTTTGTTTCTGGAGTTATGCAGGTTAACTATTTAATAGGGGCTTGGGAATTTTAAGCAGGAATTTAAGTATTTCCTTTTTTAGGTACTTTAGTTAAGATTTAACTGAGGAATTCCTTCGCAAGAGTTACTGTAAAATATGCCACAGCTTGATTTGGAAAGTAAATTGTGTCTTTCACTAAAATAGTACAGTTATTTTTCATTTGCTAAAATGTTTTACTTATGTAAATATAGCTCTAGTCTTCATACTTATGCAGTTCTTGACTAGTGTCTTAAATACATTCTATCTGAGCCCATTTTCTTATGTTAGAGATGGATTCGTAGATGATGAGGGAACTTAGAATTGAAATCTGATTTCAGTCCCCTGTCTTCATTTTCTGGTTGTAGGAAGCTGTGGTTATTGTGTGCCTAAGTAGTAAATGGCAGAAGAGGAGTCAGGAGATTCCAAACTCTTCAGATCATTTGGAGAATGGGGTTTATTTTGAGCCACCATAACTAACAGAAATAAAGAGGTTATAATTTTGGTTTCTCAGGATTTGCTCTTCTCTAACATACTACAGGTTGCAAGAACAGTGATGTCTGAGTCGCCTCAGAGTGATGAAGGAAAAGGAATGTCATTAGAAGATCGCGTTAGCACAATGGCTTTTGACCCATTTTTAACAAGGAAGCAAATTCCTCGAACTCCAGAAAATCTGCGTAAGTCTAAAACTCTGTTTTTATAATATGAATTGACTAGAAATGTGGTCAGTTCATTGACATTGTACATGTCACACAAAAAGAAAAAGATAATTATTTCGGTGAAGCTGCAAGTTGTCCTAATGGCTCACTGTAACACAACATAGTAGGCCTAATAGGATGTAGGCCTAATAAGATACAAATACTTTGAATTTGATTTAACATAGATTTTTTCCTATGTAGGATCCCCTTTGGGTTGAGGAAGAAAACTAAGCATAAACAATATAAAGCAGCTATACATCTTCCTTCTTGTATTGCTATGTTATTGAAGGGATAGGAGGAAAACAGATTGATTCAGAGTGTGAAAGTACTAAAATTTTGCGTTGGTTTGTTCTATTTAGTTACTGAAATTAGAAGCTCGTGGAGGAAAGCTATTCAGACTGAGGGCTCATCAGACATAGAACTGGCCCCAACGGAAGTAATGACAGAAGAAGCTCCAGTGGGTGCTAGACCTATAACACAGAAGGTGGCAGATTCTAGATTCATGTACTCTACCCCTGCATCTCCTGTACCGGACTTTGATCCTCTTTTGTCAGAAAGGAAGTCCCAGTCGAGTTCTACAGAATTTAGACCCCAAGAGCAGATGAGGGTAGGTCATATCATTGAATCTCCAATTTTGGAAACATCTGGAATGCAAGAGAGTGAGAGAACTGAAGAACAGGAATTAAAATACACTGTTTTGGACAAAAGTTCTGTAGAAGATCCAGAAGAACAGACTCTTCAATATCTAAAGAAGAGCATGAATACTCCAGATACCTGTTTAGAAAACAATAGTAGAACAAATGTTCTATCTTCAGACCACTTTTGGGGTTCCTTAATGGATGGGATGCAGCACTGGGATGTATCTTCATTGTTAAGTTCTATCAGTCATGAAGCTGCCTGCTTGGGGATACTGGGTGAGACACTTCCAGAAGAACTTGATAGCATACATCCCAACAAATCTGCAAGCTCAGAGTTTGATTTTGATAAAATAGCCAGTGTATATGTAACAGGTGGTTCAAAAAATAAGGTGGATATTAAAAGAACAAGGCTAGAACTGCAGTCCCCATTCAACACATACAAAGCACTGAAAAAGTCTGCATCTAGAAGTGAAGAGGAGCTGCATCAAACACATGATGGAAGTGAATCTGTAAGCTGTAGATTAGACCTAAGTCTCACACCAGAAAAAAGAGAAAGAAATGAATTGTGCAGTCCTCGAGAACTCTTCTGCTTGGATGAAGAATTTACCAAGAAGCCATCACCAATATCTCTTAATGAAAGAAAATACTCCTTGTCATCTTTGCTGGTATCCTGTCAGCATCTGGAGGAAATGGCATCAATGGTACATGAAATCCCGTTAGACTTAATACATAAATTGAAGGGTAAGTGTCCATGTAATTGAGCAACTAGATTTTGTCCATTCTGCCACTGGGTATACTGATGAATAACCTACTCTGAATAGCTGAACCCTGCTGTGGAAGTATAGGGAGACGGATTATTTCTGTGCTTATTTCTTAGGTAAGATGAGACATAGGGAAGCATGTTTCCTGTGCTTTTTAGTTGTATCAACATCTTGCAAGTAGGAGGAAGAGTGGTCATCTGACTTTCTGAGGTAATCTGCAACTATTTAAAAAGAAGAAAGCCTTTGAGAGTGCATTAGCAGTGGAGTAATCTGAAGGTAAATTTTGAGAGTTCACAGTTAGTTTGAAATAGTGTGTTTCCTCTCAACAAATTCGGCTATTTGGAAATGCTTTGTAGGTAACTGGAACTTTGTGAGGTCAGTCAGGTGTTCATAGTCTATATATAATACTTACTACTATACTTTTTATTATGAAATAGCCTGCATTCCAGCCTGCCTTCCCTCTCACCATATTTCCAAGAGAAGTGTCTACTTTGTTTAAGCAGTAGTGCATTGTGTAGTTAAATGTGAGGTCAATTTTTGAAATGCATTAATAAAAATGAGCCAGTAATGGTTATATAAAAGACTTTTACCAAAAAGGTGGTTGTTCTGGTTTTGACTAGGATAGAGATAACTTTCTTCCCAATAGCTGATACAGTGCTGTGTTTTGGATTTAGTACAAAAATAATGTTGATAGAAGCCAGGAGCGGTCACAGCCAGGACAGCTGACCCAGCCTGGCCAAAGGGATATTCCTGACCCTGTAACGTCATGCTCAGCGTATAAAACTGCTCCAGGACAGGCTATCAATCATTGGGTGGTGAGAAATTGTTGCATTGTGCATCACTTGTTTTTGTATCTTCTTTTATCAGTAGCATTATTCTTTCCTCTTCTTTTGCTGTGCTATTAAACTGTTTTTATCTCAACCCATGAGGTTTTTTTCTGATTCTCTCCCAGATCCCACCCATGGAGGGGGAGGTAAGTGAGCAGCTGTGTAGTGCTTAGTTGCTGGCTAGGGCTAAACCACATTAGTGCTATTTAATGGAATACTAGGAATTTAACAGGCTAGTCTAAAGGAGTAGTGAGATTTATACTTTGTGCAAAGGCTTGATGCAGTTTAGCTTTCACTTAAAATTGTGGTTGTACTGATAGCTGATGATTTTACCTTACTTGGAGCAGTCATCAAAATTAGAAGTCCCAATTCATATATGCTTTTTTAATATAGGACAGACACATTTGGAGCAGTATTTCTGTCAATTAATTTAATATTATAGAGTACTAACTAATACACTTTTTCTTCCAGATAAAGAGCAGTTGAATGAGAAACCGGGCACGAAGGAACCATCATCAGGATAGAATTTGTAAAGCAGAAGCATAACCATAGTAGCACAATTATGGTTCACTTGACTGTGTAGCATCTTCTCCAAGCACTGCCTAGATGGAGAAGTTGTACTCCTTTCTATGTTTACGGAGACTGTATTCCAGTGTCCTTGTTTAAGAGTGTCAGTTGCCTGCTCTAGTTCTTCCAATTTCGTGTCATCCATAGTAGCATTCTGTGTAGAGGCTATCATTTATGTACAGAGCTATATATTCCTTTCCAAACATATTTTTAAAAATAGCAGATGTTGAATAGATGGCATAATTCTAGAAAATGGAAAAACGAAGTCTCAAATGAGAAATAGTGAAATCTTTGGTGTCTCTGTTTTCTCTCTAATTCTGTTTGATATTGCCATCGGTTTTAGCTGTTGATAGAGGTTGTTTTTATAAAGTTCCACTGAAGTGCCTATTACTTTAGGCATATTACTGAATAAATGTTTTACACCAAAGCTGTAAAAATTTATGACCTGTGGTAGTGTTAAGGCCACTTTATTTTCAAATAGTTGATACACATTTATGACATTGTGATGTAGGTAGCTGATGATACAGCTTGTGGTGGGGTGGGAATGTAAAAGTCAAGGTTCCAGCAGATAAACTTACTGTAAAAGTACCACCCCTTCATGCGATGTGTGTACAGAGTTTTGAAGCATTGCTAACTGAAGTCGTTTTCTGTTCTGGTATATCTTTCACCTCTCTTCCAAAACAGTTGCAAATAGGTTTTAAGAAGAATCTCGTTCTGCATTTGACATCTTCCTTATAAAGCAGAATTTGCCCAGCATTATGAAATGAAATTTATGTGGAAGCTACAATGTGTCTGCTAACATGTTAACAGCTAAGAGGGAAGTGATTCTTAATAGCCCATTTACATGTTGATCTAATCATGGTGAAAGAACTAGAGAATTGGAAGGTCTGACCTTACCTATCAGCTGTCTGGAACAGGCCTGGCTTGCTGTGTTCCTTGCAGACCTGAGCTCTAGAGCTTGGTGCTGGTGACTTCACAAAAGCTCCCCAGGTGACTGTCATGGCTTTCACGCCCTGGTCAGAAGAGGCTTGAAAGTAGGACGTCAGAGCTGTGGTTGGGATGCCACCAGAGAAACCTGGGCATTGCTGCCCCACGGAAGGAGGTGGTCAGCTGGGATATGTAGTGCAGTCGTACCAGTGTCGTGTGCTCTGTCCCTGCTTCTGGAGATTCCTAAATCTTCTGACATAATTGTCTCCAGGGACTGCTGCTGAAGAGTGGCGGTTTGTTGGGGTGTTTTTTGGGTTTTTTTGGTTGTTTTTTTTTCTGCTATAGAGCATCTGCTGGGAAAGACTTGAGCCATAGCTGTTTTTCTTAGCAAACATGTCACCTATATCACCTGTGCCTTTGCATGTAGATCCATCCGTGAAGAAGTGCGTTTGTCAGCTGTGCTCCTGTGGGTATGTAAAAGAGGCTGGGGGAAAGAGCTTGGAGTAGTGGTTACTTGGTTGTACTGCACTTTGAGGCTGCACTGTTATTCACTGCTATAAGTTGCATGTGAGAAGTGATAAATAAAGGTATCTTAGAGCTTTTTTTAAAGATTTAGAAACGGGAAATATTTTTCCCGCATTCTGCCTATTCAACCATGTGGTTCTTGTTTTTGTCATAGGAGTAAACAAATGGCAGGGAGGCTTGCCATTTTTCTGATGTAGGTGGATTGCATCTCTAAGAGGAGAACTTTCCACTTTTTGGCCACAAACTTGCTTTCAAATGGGTGTTACAGCCTTTGAGCCTGTATTTTAATGTAATACAAAGTGATACTTCCTCTGTAAACAAGAGGAAGAGATGACTGAAAATACCAGGATTCATTAGCAGTTTTCTTAGTGTCAGTCTTGTGAATGCAAGCAAACATTTCTTGAAAGCAATGATTAGCTTTAGGCTCTTCAGCATAATGTCTGTTCTCCCATATTTGCAGGTTAAGAATAAAATTATTATTAGGGGGGTGAAAACAATATCTGACTCATTCAGATTACATGCCTTTGTTTTAGAGCTATTAAATAATTACAAAGAATGTTTAAAAGTACAAAATTCCCACCCCAAGAGTTTATGTCAGGCTGGCATGCAGTGTTGTTACTTATCATGAGTAACAAGCACATGTACTCCAAAAAGAAAACCAATAGAAATGTTGATACCAAGCAGATTATAAACTGTATTTTTGAGTACTTTCATCAAGCTCTTATTTGTAAGGTACAAGTGAATCTGCTCCCTCCATTCCTCATTCTGTATGTATCATTCCTTTTTTTTTTTTTAACCCCTATTTTAGTGGGTTTGGCTGAATGCTAGGTGCCACCTAGCTGTATCACATTCTTCCTCAGCAGGATGGGAGGGAGAAAATAGGATTGAAAAAAAATGCGTGGGTCAAGATAAAGGCAGTTTAATAAAGCAGAAGCAAAGGACATGTGCAGAAGCAAAGGAAAACAAAAGATTTGTTCTCTGCTTCCCATCAGCAGGTGATGTCCAGCCACTTCCCAGGAGGCAGGACTTTACTATGTGTAGTGGTTTTTCCAGAAGACAAATGTAAAAAAAAAGATATAAAAAGCCCCCCCACCCTGGCCCTTTCTCTTACCTTTTATTGCTGAGCAGATGTCATATGGTATGGAATATGCCTTTGCTTAGTTTGGGTCAGCTGTCCTGACTCTGTACCCTTCCAAGATACTGCCCATCCCCAGCCTAGTTGTGAGAAGGGAATGCTGGAGAGACAGCCTTGGTGCTGTGTGAGCACTGCTCAGCAGTAGCCAAAACGCTGGTGTGTGTTTGTGGAGGATACTTAGGAAGGCTTATATTAGAAGGCCATCATAATTATGTTGAACTTCAGGATAAAATCCTTTTAGAGCAGTGATTTACTGGTTAGTGAGGGGGAGTTGGGAGAACAGCAGGGTGTTATCAGCAGCTACAAATACAAAGTGTATGTATTTTTGTGACTTCTTTAAAACTGGGTATTTGCAGAAGAGGAATACAGTGTTCATAATATACAGTGTTACATGTCTAAGATACTGATTCTGAAATACTGTTCAGAAGTACTTGCCTATTAAGCTTTGGAAATTAATATTCTCATTAACTTCCTAAAGAGAATATTCTTCCATTTAATTTCCTAAGAATAAGGAATTTGGACTCCTGAAGTTAGGACCATTAGCTGAAGTATACAGTGCAGATACCTCATGTTCCTCTGCGGAGGAGAATATGCCATAGTTTAGTGCAGAGCAGTCAGTATTTTGCAGTTTAGATTTGCCCATCCTTACCAGGTGAGTTCCAAAAGGACAGGTTTACAAACTTCTATGCTCCTTGGTCTTGTTTTTTTACTTTGGAAGATTATATTAATGTTCTTTTTTTACCAAAAGCGTATATGCATTGGTCATAAATGTATAGTGAAGTGTCTGGAATATATTCAAGTGTAATATGAAATACAGTGTTTGGTAGTAGCATACCAAATAATATATAGCTATAACAAAACATAGATTGCTATAAATTTTGCAGGATAACAAATAATCATTTGTGGCCTGTCCTGTATATGTCCTGTATGTATTGGGCATATGTCAGTCTATTTTTGTGAAAAAGTAAAGCTAAAAGAACGTATAATTGACTGTCAGTAGTTCACTGAGCATTGAACAATGCAAATACAATCTGTGACTGGATTTCTGCAAGTAATGGGAGAAACAGTCTCAATTACAAGACTTAATGAACAGCAAGTCCCCTCCATTGTATAACTGCTTTTGGAGTGGTTCTTTGTGGCCAGTGGTGGCACTAGCTGAGATAAAATTTCTACTTTGTGCTAGGAATGGCTGTGAATAGAATACATATGTTAATTCTGCATAAAGGCAGAACGATATGATTTTAGTGATGACACTATCTATGATAGTGTCGATTGAGAAAATATTTTTTATCAGTTGGGAGAGGCAGAAGTACAGGCTGTGAAATATGTATTTTTTAAAATTAAGATAACCTGTTCTGTCACAGCTTTGAGATGTTAGGGAAGGACTCTTGACATCTGTTCTAGCTAATGTGCTACATACAACAGTGACGAAGGCCACTGGGTTATGGGTCCCATGTGAGAGCTACAAATTTTCAAATGATTCCAGGATGTTCAGTGCTCAGTACTTACCGGTATAGATGTTTACCACACAACTGCTAAAGTGACATTATGAATGTGTTGGTATATATGCATGTATGGACAGATACAGAAATACATGCTTAATAACTCATAGCTTGCATGGTTTTGCATGTAGAAGAGTGTATATTCGTTTTTGGTATAACTACAGAGAGGTTTCTTAGAGCTAAACTGGTAAATGATCTAAGACACTTGGTAGCTACTCAAAACTTTCCTTTTTTTAGTGGAGATTGGGAGAAGATGGGGTGAGTAGGGACTTAAAAGGATACGAGTGATCGATACCATTCATATCATTCAGTCTTCTGTGTTGCATCATTTGGAAAAACTTCGGTAGAAATTACTGTATTGGTAGCTATGGCAGAATGTTGCATGAGAGCTTTATCTTACCATCTGCAATGCTTAACAACTTGTTATGTGTGGCACCATTTGGAGGTAGCTCTTCCGTATGGGAGTACTTTTCATACCATTGTGTCTGATGATACCTACCTATACTCCAGTCTATGTGAAGCTGTTCAGCTGTGTCTGATGCAGCATGTGTGGGCTTACAGCTGGGGAACTCTGTTTAATTGGCGTGAAGCACAACTGCAAAGAGTTTGAGTATCTTTCTATCCCTGTTCTGGGCATTTTAACATTTTTAAATAATGTATTACGTTTGGTGGTGTTTCTTTGTGGCACTGACAGTGGTTTCTGATACACTTACACGTAGGCAGAGTCATTCCAATAGGTGGATCTAATCTGTAGTCACTCATTTATGTACTTTTGTCAGCTTGACCATCTCTTGCAGCTGCATGCATTTTAGTAGTTTGCACTTAGGAATAATAGTCAGGGAAAGCTGTAAGAAGCTCTTTCATGGTT